GAAAATATACTTGGCATTTGGGAGTTGCAATTGCCGGAATTTATAGTTCACCTACAATCAAAGAGAATTCTGAACTCCACCAATGATGGAACTGAACCAAACTTGGCTCACAGAACTTCCAAGACCAACAGAAAATACTGGAAGGATTTGGTGGGCATTGACCTTGAGTTTTGGAGTTGTAGTTCACCAACATCCAGAGAGCACTGTGGACTCAAACAATGATGGATCTGGTTCAAATTTGGCACGAATACTCAATATGCCCAAATGTGGACACTGGTGGAGTTTGGGGGAAATATACTTGGCATTTGGGTGTTGCAATTGCTGGGATTTATAGTTCACTTACAATCAAGGAGAATTCTGAACTCCACCAATGATGGAATTGAACCAAACTTGGCACACAGAACTCCCATGACCAACAGAAAATACTGGAAGGATTTGGTGGGCATTGACCTTGAGTTTTGGAGTTGTGGTTGACCAACTGAAAATACTATGTCTTCTGATAGTCTTTGGTGACCCCTCTGTCAACGCCTTCACAAGCCCTTCAGGGGTCCCGACCCCCAGGTTGAGAAACACTGCTGTAGAGCATAACTGGGTTTTCCTTGGAGAGCTGTGGAAGACTGAAGAGCAGCTGTGCCGTTGCTCCTGTTCCCCCAAATTCATCTCCGGAAGAAGATTAGTCATTGGAGGGTGATTTCCAAAAAGTATGGCAACAAGGAGGGAAGGCGCCTTTCATAAGCTGCCAAGGACGTTGTTTTGCCTCCACGGAAGAAGGTGAGAGGAAGGTTCACCTGGATCCAGAGCCACATCCAGTTGTCTCTTAGGAGCCCAAAAGAAGTCCCGGAAAGACATTTGGCTCCTGAAGCCTGAAAGGGGTTAAATGCGCTGCAACAAGCTTGTCTACATTTCCCAAAAGAATACAAGTGAGTCATTGTTTTGGTGCGTTTGCCTTCATTTCCGGCACCACTTTGAGCGGCCGTTGTTCAATGATATGGAGTTGTCGTTGGCAAAGGAAGGCAAAAGACCTTGTAAAACTACCACTCCCAGGATTCTATAGCATTGAGCTATGGATGTTAAAGTGATGTCAAACTGCATTAAATCTACAGTGTGGGTGCAGTGTCACACCATCAAAGTATGGCTTAGGTTGCCACTGCCGCATGGTAAACACCAACTCTCGTGATTCCACAGCAGTGAAAGTGGCCTCGCTTCATTAATTCCACAGTGTAGAGGCACCCAAGGACTTTCTATACGTATCTTCAGTCCTGTGCTGGCAGGACTGAAGACAGACAGGTCGGGGGTTTGAGTCGCCTCCGGGCTGAGAAAGGCAGTATACAAATATGGCAAAATAAATAAATAAAATGAATCCGGGGAGGGCTCAGGTGAGCTCCCTCTGTCAGCTCCAGCTCCCCTTGCGGGGACATGAGAGAATCCTACCACAAGGATGGTAAAACATCAAAACATTTGGGCGTCCCCTGAGCAACAACTTTGCAGACTGCCAATTCTCTCACCAATAGCGACTTGCAGTTTCTCAACTCGTGGGGTGAGCTCCCAACTGTCAGCTCCAGCTTCTCATGCGGAGACATGAGAGAAGCCTCCCACAGGATAGTAACACATCTGGGCAACATCCCCTGGGCAACTTCTTTGCAGACGGCCAATTCTCTCTCACCAGAAGCAACTTGCAGTTTCTCAAGTCGTGGGGTGAGCTCCCAACTGTCAGCTCCAGCTTCTCATGCAGACACATGAGAGAAGCCCCCCGCAGAATAGTAACACATCTGGGCAACGTCCCCTGGGCAACATCCCCGGGCAAGATCTTTGCAGACTGCCAACTCTCTAACACAAGAAGCGACTTGCAGTTTCTCAAGTTGTGGGGTGAGCTCACAACTGTCAGCTCCAGCTTCTCATGCAGAGACATGGGAGAAGCCTCCCACAGGATAGTAACATATCCGGGCAACGTCCCCTGGGCAACGTCCCCAGGCAAGGTCTTTGCAGACGGCCAATTCTCTCTCACCAGATGCGACTTGCAGTTTCTCAAGTCATGGAGTGAGTTCCCAACTGTCAGCTCCAGCTTCTCATGCAGAGACATGAGAGAAGCCTCCCACAGGCAAGTAACACATCCGGGCAACGTCTCCGGGCAAGGTCTTTGCAGACGGCCAATTCTCTCACACAAGAAGCAACTTGCAGTTTCTCAAGTCATGGGGTGAGCTCCCAACTGTCAGCTCCAAATTCTCATGCGGAGACATGAGAGAAGCCTCCCGCAGGATAGAAACACATCTGGGTAACGTCCCCTGGGCAACGCCCCCGGGCAAGGTCTTTGCGGACTGCCAATTCTCTGACACCAGAAGCAACTTGCAGTTTCTCAAGTTGCTACTGACACACACACACACACACAAAACGGTACTGCATTTTAAAATGTGTGCTTGTAGAATCTTTACAGTATTTGTGTGGTTATTGACTATGCTGTGTGACCCGCTTCGAGCCACGAGGAGAGGCGGATAAGAAATAAAAGTATTGTTATGTGTTGCTGTGAGTTTTTCAGGCTGTATGGCAATGTTCAAGTAGCATTCCTTCCTGACGTTTCGCCTGCATCTGTGGCAAGCACCCTCAGAGGTCTGTTCAGAAGTCTGCTGGAAATGAGGCAAGTGGAATGTATATATTTGTGGAATGTCCAGGGTGGGAGAAAGAACCTTTTTCTGTTTGAAGCAAGTGTGGATGTTGCAATCAGCCAACTTGATTTGCATTGAGTAGCCTTGCAGTTGCAAAGTCTGGCTGTTGATGCTCAGGGGGATCCTTTGTTTACCATCATCATTATTGGGTTGATGTGAGTTTTTCGGGCTGTATGGCCATGTCACAGAAGCATTCTCTCCTGACATATGGCAGGCATCCTCAGAGGTTGTGAGGTCTGTTGGCAATGAGGCAAGTGGGGTTTATACATCTGTGGAATGTCCAGGGTTGGAGAAAGAACTCTTGTCTGCTGGAGGCAAGTGTAAATGTTGCAACTGGCCACCTTGATTAACATTGAATATCCTTGCTTCCTGCCTGTGGGAATCCAGCTAACACCTCCCAACAAAGAATTCCCCCAGGCAGGAAGCAACCAAGCTTTGAAGCTGCAAGGATATTCCATGCTAATCAAGGCGGCCAACTGCAACATTTACACTTGTGCCAAACAGACAAGAGTGCAGCTTCAAAGCCTGTCTGCTCCCTGCCTGGGGGAATCCTTTATTGGGAGTTGTTAGCTGGATTCCCCCAGGCAGGAACCAGCCAGGCTTTGAAGCTGCAAGGATATTCCATGCTAATCAAGGTAGCCAACTGCAACATTCTCACTTGCTCTAGTGATTCCAGCCATGAAAGCTTTCAACAACATATTGAATTCTTGTCTGTTTGAGTTAAGTGTGAATGTTGCAATCGACCACCTTGATTAGCATTGAATAGCTTTGCAGCTTCAAAGCCTGGCTGCTTCCTGCCTGGAGGAATCCTTTGTTGGGAGGTGTTAGCTGATTGATTCTTGTTTGGAATCAGACAGGCTTTGAAGTTGCAAGGCTATTCCATGCTAACCAAGGCGGCCAACTGCAACATTTACACTTGCGCCAAACAGACAAGAGTGCAGCTTCAAAGCCTGGCTGCTCCCTGCCGGGGGGAAGCCTTTGTTGGGAGGTGTTAGTTGGATTCCCCTAGGCAGGAAGCAGCCAGGCTTTGAAGCTGCAAGGATATTCAATGCTAATCAAGGTAGCCAATTGCAACATTCACACTTGCCTCAAACAGACAAGAGTGCAGCTTCAAAGCCTGGCTGCTTCTTGCCTGGGGGAATCCTTTGTTGGGAGGTGTTAGTTGGATCCCCCTAGGCAGGAACCAGCCAAGCTTTGAAGCTGGAAGGATATTCAATGCTAATCAAGGTAGCCAATTGCAACATTCACATTTGCTTCAAACAGACAAGAATTCTTTCAGAATCTATCTGCTCCCTGCCTGGGGGAATCCTTTGTTGGGAGGTGTTAGCTGGATTCCCCCAGGCAGGAACCAACCAGGCTTCGAAACTGCAAGGATATTCAATGCTAATCAAGATAGCCAATTGCAACATTCACACTTGCCTCAAACAGACAAGAGTGCAGCTTCAAAGCCTGGTTGCTTCTTGCCTGGGGGAATCCTTTGTTGGGAGGTGTTAGTTGGATTCCCCCAGGCAGGAACCAGCCAGGCTTTGTAGCTGCAAGGATATTCAATGCTAATCAAGGTAGCCAGTCGCAACATTCACGCTTGCCTCAAACAGACAAGTGTGCAGCCAGGCTTTGAAGCTGCAAGGCTATTCGTTGCTAATGAATGTGATCTTTTGCAGCATTCACACTTGCCTCCAAGAGTTCTTCCTCCCACAATGGACATTCCACAGATATATAAACCCCACTTGCCTAGTTTCCAACAGATCTCACAACCTCTGAGGAGGCCTGCCATAGGTGTGGGGGTAACGTCAGGAGAGAATGCTTCTGGCACATGACCATGCAGCCTGGAAAACTCACAGCAACCCAAAACCCCACTTGCCTAGTTTCCAACAGACCTCACAACCGTTGAGGAGGCCTGCCATAGGTGTGGGGAAAACATCAGGAGAGAATGCTTCTGGCACATGACCATGCAGCCTGGAAAACTCACAGCAACCTAGTAATTCTGGTCATGAAAGCTTTCAGCAACAACAACAACAAATAATAATAATAATAATAATAATAATAATAATAATAATAATAATAATAATAACTATTATTATGCAACAACACATAAACAAAGCAGTCCCAACAGATGGCCACCCTGCTTCTGCTTAAAGGAGAAGGAGATTCCAAGGCAGCACATTCCACGTTCGAACAGCTCGAACTGTCAGGAAGTTCTTCCCAACGTTGACGTGGAATCTCTTTTCCTACAATTGGAACTCACTGCTTCCTTGTGTCCTAAAGCAAGCATGCCCCTTCTCCATAATGTGACATTCCTTCAAGTCCTCTCTGGCAACATGTAAGGGCGGCAATGCTTACCTTTCCAGGGAAGTCAGAGATCAAGGCTGCCGTGGTCTTCCTTGGTGGGCTTTGGGGTGATCCTCCTGGGTGGAGAGTGCCAGGCTGGACAGATCCTCAAGCCAGAGGCTGCGCACAGGTGGATCCCAGGTCTGGAGGAGTCGGAGCAAGGCGAAGAGTCCAGGCGAAAGTGCTGCTCTTTCCTTGAATGTTGTGCCTGCTGTGTTGGTGTGTCTGTGCCTGTGGCTTTAATATTCATGCTGCGAGCTGCAGGGGGAGCAAAGCAGGAAAACTCAGCAGGGAAACATGCCAGAGAAAGAGGGAAGGGAAGGGAAGGGAACACAATGCGCAAGGCCAGGACATGCACAGTTAAGGCTACACTGCATCTACAACAAGGCATGCGCCAACTTTGGCCCTCCAGCTGTTTTGGACTTCAACCGGCTGTTAGGAATGGTGGGAGTTGAACTCCAAAACACCTGGAGGGCCAAAGTTGGCACATGCGTGATCTACACTGTAAATAAGGGGATAGATACTAACCCATTTCAAATAATTATTATAAAGCATTACTAGAACAATGGGTGCTCAATGCTTTGGGTGTTCAATGGGTGCTCAATGGGTGCCAAATGCTTTGGGTGCTCAATGGATGCTCAATGCTTTGGTTGCTCAATGGGTGCTCAATGGGTGCCAAATGCTTTGGGTGCTCAATGGGTGCTCAATGCTTTGGGTGTTCAATGGGTGCTCAATGGGTGCCAAATGCTTTGGGTGCTCAATGGGTGCTCAATGCTTTGGGTGTTCAATGGGTGCTCAATGGGTGCCAAATGCTTTGGGTGCTCAATGGGTGTTCAATGCTTTGGGTGTTCAATGGGTGCTCAATGGGTGCCAAATGCTTTGGGTGCTCAATGGGTGCCAAATGCTTTGGGTGCTCAATGGATGCTCAATGCTTTGGTTGCTCAATGGGTGCTCAATGGGTGCCAAATGCTTTGGGTGCTCAATGGGTGCTCAATGCTTTGAGTGTTCAATGTGTGCTCAATGGGTGCTCAATGATTTGGGTGTTCAATGTGTGCTCAATGGGTGTTCAATGCTTTGGGTGTTCAATGGGTGCTCAATGGGTGCCAAATGCTTTGGGTGCTCAATGGATGCTCAATGCTTTGGTTGCTCAATGGGTGCTCAATGGGTGCCAAATGCTTTGGGTGCTCAATGGGTGCTCAATGCTTTGGGTGTTCAATGTGTGCTCAATGGGTGCTCAATGATTTGGGTGTTCAATGTGTGCTCAATGGGTGTTCAATGCTTTGGGTGTTCAATGGGTGCTCAATGGGTGCTCAATGCTTTGGGTGTTCAATGTGTGCTCAATGGGTGCTCAATGATTTGGGTGTTCAATGGGTGCTCAATGGGTGTTCAATGCTTTGGGTGTTCAATGGGTGCTCAATGGGTGCTCAATGCTTTGGATGCTAAATGGGTGCTCAATGCTTTGGGTGTTCAATGTGTGCTCAATGGGTGCTCAATGATTTGGGTGTTCAATGGGTGCTCAATGCTTTGGGTGCTAAATGGGTGCTCAATGTTTTGGTTGCTCAATGGGTACTAAACGCCAAAGAACTATATAAATGCTTTTTTCATATGTGCAATCATGGCACATAGGGTCTTGGTTTGTTCCCAGGGCTTGAAGGCTGACATTTATGAGGTCATGAAATCACCGTATCTATTAAGACAGTGTCTCTCAACCTTCCTAATGCCACGACCTCCACGATCTGGAACAGGCAACATATCATTGTCCTTCTTTAGGGGTCCCTTTCAAATCTAGGATACTATATCTCTCTCTGTGTTAATCATATATTTCTATATCTATGGCTGGATGGCTCTTTGTCAGGAAGGCTTTGATTACGTTTTCTTGCCCTGGTGAAGGGAGTTGGACTGGATGGCCTTAAGTATTTTCTGATGGTCATGAGGGTTCTGTGCGCCCCAATTCTGTCGTTGGTGGGGTTCAGAATGCTCTTTGATTGTAGGTGAACTATAAATCCCAACAACTGCAACTCCCAAATGTCAAGGTCTATTTCCCCCAAACTCCATCTGTGTTCATACTGGGGCATATGGAATATCCATGCCAAGTTTGGTCCAGATCCATCATTGTTTGAGTCCACAGTGCTCTCTGGATATAGGTGAACTACAATTCCCAAACTCAAGGCCAATGCCCACCAAACCCTTCCAGTATTTTCTGTTGGTCATGGGAGTCCTGTATGCCACGTTTGGTTCGATTCCATTGTTGGTGGAGTTCAGAATGTTCTTTGATTGTTGGTGAACTATAAATCCCAGCAACTACAACTCCCAAATGACACAATCAATTTTTTCAAGTGATGGTCACTCCTTGGGTTAGTAGGTGTCTTGTGTCCAAATTTGGCGGCAATTTGTCTAGTGGTTTTTGAATTCTGTTAATCCCACAAACAAACATTACACTTTTATTTATATAGATATATGATCCATACATATATGTATATGACAGATATGGAATCATAGATTTGAAAGGAACCCCTAATGAAGGGCAATTACATGTGGTATGTTCTAGAGTGGGTAAACCGGACAATCTCCACATCAACCCTGACCAAGAAACAGCAAGAAATAATTGTTTACCACAAGCAGAAAGCAATCGCAGAGATTAGAAACAGACACTTTCTCATTCCTTTATTTTCCAGATGGCCAGGCTGGGCCACAGCAACGCCTGGCAGGGGACAGCTAGTCTCTTCCAAGAACCCTACTCTTCCACACTGGCACAAGTCTTTGTGTGGCCTTGATAGCTGTCGATTTGGACACCAAAGGCAAATGGTAACAAGAAAAACAATGGGAATGCATCACAGTGATATGAGCCAGAGATGAATAGTGCCATTCATGAAATCGACACTTCGTTGTACGTAGAAACAACAGCTCGCCAGGGCCAAGGAACAAGAAAAGGAAACTGGATCAAGGCATCAAAGAGGCAAGCGCAGGGGAGGACTGGGCGGGTTAGACCATGCGGATATTCAATGTAAGTATATTGTCGAAGGCTTTCATGGCTGGAATCACTCGGTTCTTGTGGGTTTTTTCGGGCTATCTGGCCATGTTCTAGAGGCATTTCTCCTGACGTTTCGCCTGCATCTATGGCAAGCATCCTCAGAGGTGAGGTCTGCTGGAAATGGGGAAAAAGGGGTTTATATATCTGTGGAATGACCAGGGTGAGACAAAGGGCTTTTGTAAGTTGGGCTAGGTGTGAATCTTTCAACTGACCACCTTGATTAGCATACAATGGGCTGACTGTGCCTGGAGCAAACTCTTCTTGAAAGGTGATTAGATGTCCCTGCCTGTTTTTCTCTGCTGTTTTTGCTGTTGCAATTTTAGAATTTTTTTAATACTGGTAGCCAGATTTCCCATTTCCCAGATCCCATTTCCAGCAGACCTCACTCCCTCTGAGGATGCTTGCCATAGATGCAGGCGAAACGTCAGGAGAAATGCCTCTCGAACATGGCCATATAGCCCGAAAAAACCCACAAGAACTGAGAGATTCAATGTAAGGTTCAACACAGATATACGATTGGAGCAGCATTTCTTAAAATGTGGGTGGGGTCGCAAAGGGTCTCCAAAGACCATCAGGAAACACATATTTGGCAGAGAAGGCTGAAGAAGATCTCTCTCCCTGCCCTTCTCTTCCTTTTTGGAAACAGATGGCCAATCCTCCCACCAATAGCTCTCCTCTGCTCTGATAAGGGCTCTTTCTGAGACTCTAAGGCAGGGCTCCTCAAACTTTTTGAACAGTGGGCCAGGTCACAGTCCCTCAAACTGTTGGAGGGCCGGATTATAATTTGAAAATAACATCTGAACATTAGGAAGAACTTCCTGACTGTGAGAGCCGTTCAGCAGTGGAACTCTCTGCCCCGGAGTGTGGTGGAGGCTCCTTCTTTGAAAGCTTTTAAGCAGAGGCTGGAGGACCATCTGTCAGGGGTGCTTTGAATGCAAGATTCCTGCTTCTTGGCAGAATGGGGTTGGACTGGATGATGGCTCACCAGGTCTCTTCCAACTCTAGGATTCTAGGATTCAGAGGCTGGATGGCCATCTGTCAGGGGTGCTTTGAATGCAATATCCCTGCTTCTTGGCAGAATGGGGTTGGACTGGATGATGGCCCAGGAGGTCTCTTCCAACTCTTTGATTCTATGATTCTATGAATGAATTCCTATGCACACTGCACATATCTTATTTGTAGTGCAAATAACACTTAAAAGCAAAACAATAATTAAAATGAAGCACAAATTTAACAAATGTAAACTTATTAGTATTTCAGTGGGAAGTGTGGACCTGCTTTTGGCTGGTGAGATAGAGGTATTTATTATTATTATTATTATTATTATTATTATTATTATTATTATTATTATTATTATTATTTGCTTTACTTCTATACCGCCTTTCTCAGCCGAAATGGCGACTCAAGGCGGTTTACAAAGTAAAGGTTAATACAACAACATCAAAAAGGCAATTAAAAACACATTATACAAAAACACATCAAGTCAAAAACAATCATGATCATAGACGTGCGCCTCAGCAAACAAATCAGAATCAGAATCCGTAATCAGAATCCTTCATACCAATTCCTATGTTCAGTTGTACCGTCTTACTGTATTTCGTTGCACTATTTAGCCAAACGCTTGCTCGTAAAGCCAAGTCTTGACCTTCCTCCGGAATGCCAGCAGTGAAGGGGCCTGTCTGATGTCCACAGGTAGGGTGTTCCACAGCCGAGGGGCCACCACCGAGAAGGCCCTGTCTCTCGTCCCTGCCAACCGCGCCTGCGATGCGGGCAGGACCGAGAGCAGGGCCTCCCCAGATGATCTTAATGTCCTAGTCGGTTCATAGGAGGAGATGCGTTCGGAGACGTAAGTAGGACCAGAGTTGTTGTTGTTGTTGTTGTTGTGGTTGTTGTTGTTGTTGTGTGCTTTCAAGTCGTTTCAGAGCAAGGGTCGGGTAAATGACCTTGGAGGGCCGCATCCGGCCCCCGGGCCTTAGTTTGGGGACCCCTGCTCTAAGGGGAGAGGGGAGAGCAGGCGTGCTCGGCACATGGCAGCATGGTGCACACCTGCAGGCAAGGGAGAGCGTGCCAGGCTGGAGGGAGGCTCACACCTGTATCCCTTCAAGGCATGGGAGTTCTGTTTGGGAAGTTTGGCCCAATTCTATAGTTGGTGGGGTTCAGAATGCTCTTTGATTGTAGGTGAACTATACTTCCCAGCAACTACGACTCCCAAATGACAAAATCAACC